ACTGAGTAATGCTAAACTTAGAAAATTAGTTAAACTCATTGAAATTTGTATAGTTTCAAAGATCTAATAAAGTATTAACATGACTGCTAAAGGTAAAAAAAAAATTTTAGTTATTATCTAATTTAAGTAGTCTATTGCATAAGTAATTAGACTATCTAATTAGTTTTATACTATGCTACTATATCTGTAACTCGCCTGTGAGTTATCTATTTAAACACTCTGTTCATTAACCTATACAGATTTAATCTAATATTACTGCAACTCCTAACTGCTTAAACTACCTAGCTCGTTATAGATCTATTTATTCAGAATAGTTTAGGTCCTTTCAGAATATATTGTATCTAATATATTGTAGATATCGCAGAGCTAGTTAATCTTAAAGCATGCCTACTAGAGTAGTCCATATCTATTTTATAAATTTACCTAGTTTAGACCCTTATAGATATTTATACAATACCAGTTCTTATCATAGCTCTCTACTAGTTTTCTGTATTCTATAGTACATGATACTTAAAGACTACATTTGTTCTATTTTGGGACCAAAAAATAAAATATGCTAAAAAGTCGATTTATACCTATTTTACGAATATTACGAATATATCACATGACCAAACCAATCACAAGTTAGTATTAATTATATAGAAATAACAGTTATCAAACTTAAAGGTCATATATACTATATATATACAGTTACAGTAGTATTTTATGAATTGGTTTTAAAAGAATTGCCAGTACAATTATAAAATAAATGCAAATTAAATAAGAAAATCGATAATTGTATTGAAGAATTTCAACATAAAGCTATAGAGTATAAGAGTGTAATAAATCTACAAGAGATTTATTTTAACATAATAAATTATGCTGTAATGACTAGCTTACAATTCCAAATAAACAACATAATAAATTATACTATCGTATTACTATTAGCTTACAACCCAGGTAAAAAATATGCTGTGTTGAAATTTAGTTACAATCTCTTGCTATTTTAATACTATTAACATATTACAACTATTATATATTTATTAGTTTACCTTATAGTTTAAAAAAAGTGTTAAATTTTAAAAATTTTAAAAAAAATTTTAAATTTTAAAAAAAAATTTTAAAATTTAATAAAAAAAAATTTAAATTTTTAAAATTTAAAAACATTTAAAAAAAATCTTAAAATTCAAAAAAAAGGAAAAAAAAAAATAAGAAAAAAAGTCAAAATCTTAAATATATCTGTTAAGTAGATCAGAGACCAAATTAAACCGATTGGTGATTAGAGTAGACCAGAACTGGATAAAACTGTACTAACCCTAATTGTTATGAAAGAAAAAAATAATAATTAATTATTAAAACAATCAATTTATTATGTAATTTCTCCTAATGAACATTATTCCATTATAACCTTTACTAAACTTTTTCACTATTTTTTTGTACGAATAAATCTAGTTTATTCTTTGGTATCTGCCTATGTGATTTAAATTTCTTGCAAGCATACTCAGCTAATTTTCCTGTCAATCCCTCATGATATAATTCTATATATCTCCATGATTTTCGAGCAAACTTTCTAATTTTAATGATGCCAACTAAGTCAAATGCATGTAGAACAGTTTTTTGCAAACTAGCCCAAGTGTAATTACAATTATTTCTCGTATAATTTTTAGCAGCCTCCCAATACATCTCAATGAAGTTAAGTTTACAGTAAAATTTTGAATAGAAGACATATAAATGACTTGTACTCTCTATTAGTTCTACAATAGCAAACTTTTATATAATAAAATCAGATTGAGAAGCTATTATTTTTCTTGCATAACAGTCTAATTGTGAATCATCCTTTACCAATTTCTTATATTCCTTACATTCTAAAAGTAGCCTATCTTTCCAAAGCCCTCTTTCTTTTAATATTAATTTAATACCTTTTGGTTCTCCTTGCATAGTTTCATCATAATCTTTATCTTTTCAAAGTCATAGTCTTCCTCAAATACTATATGTTGAGTTTTCTGTTGTCTATTAGCACTAATAAAAGTTGTCAATTACATCTTTGGTTGATTCCCTCTAGGTTTTAGATTTATTCGTGTGGTGATAAGAGCATCTTCAGCATATGCTGCATAGTTTGTACTATTGTCAAAGGCAAAGATAGCTGTTGCATTTGAAAATTTTGTTTCAAATATGAGAATCACTTTGTCCCTAATTTGTTCAAGTAAATTATCGACTGTCCAAAAACCTTCTTGGTTTTTACCAGGCATTAAATAGCAACGTGCATCTACGGGAACATCCAGATGCATTATCATCTCTTGTTTACTTAGTTTCAACTGATCACATTCTTCTAAAATAAATTTACTCACTATAATTGATCTCCTGTTCTCTTTTTTCGCAATAGCATATTCCCGTCTAATATCTATATCTCTCTTTTTCTATCATTTGAATAAAAAATGCATTTATTATGTATTACAAAGATTAATTCTTATTTGCCTGCTTTGAGCGCTGGTGGAATTCTTTCTATTGTTTCTCCTTCATACCTGGGAGCGAAAAAAAAGAATAAAATTTTGTTTAAATAATTTTTAAGATTTACTTAAAAATACACTTATAATTACTGAGTTATTTCAAATTCTTTAAACTTAAAATCTCAACAGTACTACTATAGCGCTGCAATAACATATTCTATTAGAATATAATTAGGGATGGCAAATGATTTAAAACACAATATTTTAAATCAATATTATATTGCTTTAAAATGATTTTTTTTATGATTTAAATCATCGTCATTGATAACCGAGTAAATTTTATTTCAGATAATGCAATGTGATTTTAATGAATATCATTTCATTATATTTGATATCATAATATTATTTAAATATCACAGCAATACTAAAATTAAAATTATCTAGTCAGATGCAGTTTTAGCTATCAGCATTATAATCAACAATGTTTTAAAGCATTTTATTAAATCAGGTTAAAAAATATAAAAATCATTAATTTTCTCATGTTATAAATATACTACTGGTATTATAGAAGTTTGGCCATATTAAGTATTTTAATCATTACAATATTTAAATGATAAAAAATTATAAAATTCTGTTCAAAGTATGATATAATTACATGAAATCTTGATTTACTGAAATTTACAAATTACATAAAATTAAAATTAAGTAATAATAGTTAAGTGCTGTAGGGGGAAACCTAGAAGTGAATATATATTTACTTCCAGGTATTCCCCCACAGTACTTAACTATTATTACTATTCATACCTCACTATCCTACGTTCTAAATCTCGCATTTCTTTCAAAAATTTTTTTCGATATGCCATCACATCATCTCACTCATATCCATCAATGTATATGCTCTTCTGATATCCTTTGAATTAGAGCCCCAAAATATTTAACCACCTTTTAGCTATTCGCAAGCAGATTGGTTTTTTGGTTTCTCTAGTGTATTCCAGAAAAATAACATCATTAACATATTCTTGGAACTTAGATGAATCAATACTATTTACTCAGAATTTTGTTATATCCAACTTAGACAATGCATTGCAATATCTTTGTAGTCAATAAGTCACTTGTGCTTTTGGTATTTGCCATAGTGTGAAAGTAGAAATGACCCATAATTTAAATAATATTTGGTCAGAGAATGAATTCTTCTAGCAGTATATAGTTTTGGTATGACATAGATTTTATACGCAGCTTTTTTACTTGCATTTTTTTTCTCATATCTATCTTTCAGCAGTACAAAATATTCATAAACTGCCCGATACTCATTATATTCAAAGGCCGTGATCATACGTCCATTTTTTGTAAGATATTTCTGAAGTTGGTTGATTCCTTCATGTATAATAATACTAGTAGATTGATCTATTGAAGGCGCTATAAAATCACTTAAAAATAAAATAAAATAAATTTAAATCTTACTGTATATACTTTTTTTTGCACACTACTTGTTCAGTATATGTTAAAATATCAGTATATATTAAAATATAGGGGGTTTTTTTTATTAGCTTTAATTACAATAAAAATTTAATACAGTACTTTGAACAAGTAGTAATTAATGACAAATAATAAAAACTTTCACTAACTTTATATTTCCAAAAAAATTTGTAATTTTATGAGTTCTCTCAGCAGCCTTGATAAGTGTACCAGAGGCACCAAACTTATAATAATAGGTTGTTTTAGGCAATCCTTTTATTGCTCTTTTTTTTTTTTCTTCATTCATTTATATGGAAGCTATAGTAAGTAACCACTTATAGATCTTTTCTTCTTCATTGACCTCTTCCTTGTTTTCTTCTTCTTGATCAAGCTCACTATCTTCTGCTTCAACTTCCTCCTCAACCTCCCCTTCAATTTCCTTCCATTTTTTTTTGGCTTATTCTTTTCTTTGATTATTGTATTCCTTAAGTTTGTTGAATTTTTTTTTGCTCTTTACCATATTTGAGTAAAACACCTAATTTAAATAGTAATGAAAAAGTAAGTTTTGTATGTAGGTTCTTACTAGGGCCACATACAAATTAAGTTTCGCATGAGGGGTTCTTACTAGGGCCATATACAAACTAAATTTCATATGTGAGTTCTTCTTAGCTATATATAAAATACATTCATATGCGGGTTCTTACTACATACAAATTAGGTTTCATATATAGATCTCACTAGGGCTACACACAAATTATGTTCGTATGTGAGTTCTTATTCTGATTTTCATACCTTTGCGGAGCCACATACAAATTATGTGATGTGTAATCACTATTCATTTTGTGAAATATGAAACTCTTTTTTTGATTATTAATGAACTATTATTTGCATGTGATAGTTATCTACTAATCAAATTCTTGGATGCAAAATTATCAATTTGATTGGCTAGTGCTTTTGTCCCATTTTTCATCGATTTTATATGTTAGCATATAAAAATTGGCTACTTTTATATTCTTATAACTTTGAAATATTTAATAGTTTTTAAAAAACTAAAGCCGCTAAGTTGTAGTAAATTGGTTTGGCTACAAATTAGCAGCTTTTTTTTGTCTAAATTCTTTTTAAATTAAAAGTTATAAGCTTTTAAAGTTTGTGTAGTCTTTAAGTGTTGCACACCATATAATCTCAGATATTTTACAAGACAGATCCTCCTAATCTAGTTAGCTGCCAAGCCAAGTTGGTATTACTGACAATCTAAATTTTATAAAGTTATAAACAGAATATTATATAAGAAAAATCGAAAGAACTTAGATAGATTAATTCAAATAATTAAATAGACAAAAGTAGAACCTATTCTCTATATAATGCATAGTACTTTGATAGCTAGACATTTAGGAATAGATGCTATATATTATAAAATAGCTAATTTATACTACTAGAACTAAATGTATAAGGATATTAAGAATTATGTCCAAGTATATAAAGTATATCAATAATGAGAGAAAACAAAAAGAAAAGACTCTTTTTACTCTATTTAAATAAAATAAGCTTTTGAAAGAATTAGAATTAATTTAGTAAAGCTTTTTCTGATTACTAAGCAAAATAATCACTATATTATTGTTACTACTAACTATTTAATAAAATAGTCAGAAGCTAAAGCCATATTAGATGCAAGCACAAAAACTTCTACTAAATTTATTTTTGAAGTTATTGTTTGTAGATATAAAGTATCTCAAATAATACTCTCAGATAATGAAAAGAATTTTGCTAGTAAAATAGTCAAAATACTTTATAAAAAGTTTTTAATTAAGTATATATTTTCTTTTCCTTATCATCCTTAGACAAACAGAATAGTAAAAAGATTAAATAGAATACTTTGCAACTCTCTTGCAAAAGTGAAAAAACAAAATAAAGACTATAATAGATATATATCTGCTATCTTATTTATATATAGAACAAAAAGATATTCAATAACAAGATATATTTCTTTTGAATTAACTTATAGATACCAAGCTAAAATATCAATTAAAACCTTTATCTCTGTAGAAAATATAGATACAAACAAAAAAATAACCTTAGAAGATAGTATATTATAACAAGTATTTGAGTTAATAGATAAATTCTCTTATCAATATAGTAAAGCTTACAGAAATATAAAGAAATCTCAAAAATCTAGTTAACGCTTGATTTAGTAGGAAAGTTTGTATATATATGTTGTAGATAAAACAGGTGCGAGTAAGTCTATCTAACATGCAAAAAGGCTAGCAGTACCAATCTGGCTTTGCAGCTAACTAGATTTAAAAGGATCTGTTTTGTAAAATATCTTGAAAACCTCAAAGGACTAAACTAATAGAGAGCTACAGAAAGAACTGGGTTCATATGAATATCAACAAGAGTCTAAACTAGGTGGAATCCTTAAAATAGGCATGGGACACTCTAGTAGATTTGTTTACAAGGTTAACTGGCTCTGCAGTTGGGTATAATGTATTCTAAGAGGACCTAAGCTGTTTAGTAAAATGATCTATAACGAGCTAGCTAACTTAAGCAGTTAGGTGTTGTGATGATATTAGTTTGGGATTGCATGTGATACTACATTAAACAGAGTGTTTAAACAGATAACTCACAAGTAGGTTACAGGTATAGCAGCTTATGTAGAACTACTTAGATAGCCTAACGTCTGTGTAGTGAACTACTTAAATAGAAAATGACTAAAGTTGTATGTGTGACTAGTTGTATACTCTTTATGTAACTATCCCTTAATTTGTAACACAGGCAAATTTGCCTGCGTCTACTTTTAATTTTTGTAATTTTTAAAATAAAACTTTAAATATTAACTTTAAATATATACTT